GGTCCACACCAGAGTCTTTTTCTTTCTTCCTCCACCCTCACCTCAGTATCCTGGCATTTCTCAATAAGCACCTTTAATAAAAATGGATGTTGGTAGGGTTTAATGACTGGATCCATTTCACTGTTACATTTGTTTCAGATGATACCGTGATGTTCTAGACCCTTGTAGTAGTTGGTAATGACCTAGAGCTTATTCTTTAGGACCTCTTAGGATATTCAGAATCAAAGCTCCATGGAGGCCAGCAGGTGGCATGTTGGTTAAGGTGCTGGACACTCCCACATGGCCGACCACAGTTCGAGTCCCGGACCCAGTGACTTGCTTTCTCACTTCTCTTTCTCTCTGTGTCTCTCTCTGGTCAAATTAAAATAAATGAATGAATAAATAAATAAAAAATAATGCTTTAAAGAAAAAAACAGAATCAAAGTTCTATCCAGTATCCACCACGAACCACAGATCTATCGATTACTATTTATACTTCAATTTTCTTATCTGTCATGGGTGTTTTTTAAGCCTCAATTTCTTATCTGTCATATGGGACATTACTGCCTCCTTCACAGTACAGCTACAAATGAAAAAGAGTTGAGTTTGGTCTGGCACTTGTGGGTAAATAAATTGTGGGTATATTACAGTTATTAATTACGAATAGGACAAATTTTATCACGATTGAATTTATTATCATTGCCCTACTCTGGAGATACTGATGCCGTAGTTACCTCTTCATCAAGGAATTGCATAGGAGAGACAGCAAATAATGCTTCATCCTCCAAAAGCGTTTTTCATATACATAACCTCATGGGAATTGCTCTGATTCATTGGGATGTTGTGACTGAATCAACATTTACAAGACTAATACACTGTGTGGAATTTAGGTGCTCAATAAGTAATCTCTAAAGGAACAAACCCTACCCTAAATGGGAGTGATGATCCATGTGCTAATACAAATGAGATTGCGTGTGAAAATGAACTTTGTGAAGTGTAGTTTAGGGATAAGTTACAAGTATTTGGGATGGAGTGTTATTGCAGAAAATGTTTCTCTTCCACTGAGTCATATTTTTCTTAGGCATGTAAAAACCTAGGCTGGGGTTTAGAAGACAAAGGCCGTTAATTTCACATCCATTTTGGTAAATAATGCCGGCTGGCACATCTGACCATGGGATGCCCCTGCAGCCTGGCACATAGCTCCTGGGCCTCCCACGCGCCTGTGATTATGCAGGCATGTGCTTGTCGTGTTCTCTGGGCAGGAGCCTGAGAAAGGTCCCACTGCTTGCAGAGATGTGTGGGTTGTAAATCCTGAAAACTGCGGCCCTGTGTGGGCTTTGTTGGTGCAGGACCCCGCCCTTCAGTTCAGAGGAGGAGCTAGACGAAGACGACTTCATCCAGGCCTACACGTCCCCGGACCTGCTTCTTGTACCACCCTCTAAAAGCAGCAAGAACGGCTGTGGAAAGAGCGCTGCCAAACAGGACGCAGACTGGACTGAGGGAAGTGAAATCAGGGACTTTGATGTCCCCCCCAAGCCCACAGGTGAGCGTTTATCCTTGGAAAGCTTTCCGGAAGTTGAAGACAGTGGTTCTCAGTCGGGGGATTTCTCTCTTTTTCTGTTGTCTCTCTCTGGCGAGTGCACACACCCTATAACAAAACTTTAAAAGAATAGAAAGAAAAAGACCCTGTCTTCAAATAAATCTAACTTCTAAAGGTCTAGGATGACGATGTCATCCTGTAAATTTGAAGAGACATAATTCAACCTATGACACTGGTGACAATGAGAATAGCTTTCTATTACTCCAGGCCCTGGACAATCCTAAAGGAAAACCAGTCTCTGGTTCTTGATAATTCGGTGAAGAGACATGGAGCTCATGAGACTTTTTTTTTTAATTATATATTTATTTCATTTTATTTATTATCATTGTTTTTATTTAGATCAAAGAGAAACAGTGAGAAAGAAAGGGAAAGTAGAAAGCAAGCTACCAGATCTGGGACTCGAACTGTGGTCAGCTATGTGGAAATCTAGCACCTCAACCACCACATGGGCTGGCCCCTCATGAGTCATTTTTTAAAAACTGAAATTCCAAGGCCAGCAGGTGGCATGGTGGTTAAGGCACTGGATTACATAGGCAACTCCACAGTTCGAGTCCTGGATCTGGCAGCTTAAAAAACTGGGGGGGAGTGGGGGCACACATGTGCGTGCATGCCAAAAAAATCTCAAGAGGAAAATGGAGGAGATGGGATTACAGGGTGGTTATTCCCCCTGGGGTGGTGATTTCTCACTCTCACTCTCTCTTTCTCTCTCTGTCTCTCTAGCAAGCACACGTGCCTTATGACAAAAATCTAAAAAAGAAACTAAAATTCCATTTCACATAATTTGTAAAGTATGTGTTTAAAATCAGATATAAGATATATCATTTATATATACCATGTATTTATATGATTTTGTAAAGTATACTTAATTCTTTTAAAAATAATCCATATTGTTTTCAGAAATATCCCACATGAATATTCCAATCATGCAGGTTAAATCATGGAAATAGTTTCTGATCCCATACACAAATAAGACCATTGTTCATTTACTTAAAATGAAAACTTACGGTTCCTAATCTGGAGCATCATAAATGTTTTTAAAGAATAGATCTAGTCTCACTCTCTCTTTCGTGGTGGTTAAGGTGCTGGACACTCCCACATGGCCAACTACAGTTCGAGTCCTGGACCTGGTGACTTGCTTTCTCACTTTCTCTCACTCTCTGGTCAAATTAAAATAAATTAGTGAATAAATAAAACTAAATAAATAGTTCTTTAAAAAAAAATAGATCTTTAACTTTTTTCATCCCTAAATGTATCCATTGATTCTATTTTAATAATATATACTTATATGCAAAGTTGAGTCTTTCAGCCTGTAATTTTTGTAATTAGATGTATTTTTTTAAAAAACTATACCTGACTTATTTCTCTTGATCCTATAGGAACCTCCATTAAAACCATAACTGAGAAAGTTGAAAAGATGGCTGCACATCACAGAAACGTGAATAAACCAGTTGGTGGGATTAATGTCACTGAGGCATTTATCAAAAAAGAAGTCCAAGAAGATTTAAAGGTGGGACTAGCAGTTAACATAATGGCTGTCACTGGACTCCCATGTTGCCAACCACAGTTCGAGTCCCAGACCTGGTGGCTTAAACTCACGCCGGGCACGTGTGTGTGTGTACCCAAGAGAAGAATGGAGGAGAAGGGATTGTGGCATGGCCATCCTCCCTGGGGGGTGATTTCTCACTTTCTGTCTCTCTGTCTCTCTCTGTCTGGCGAGCGCACGCGCAAAAAAAAAAAAAAAAAAAACCTGTCCAAAAGAAAAAGATCTAAAGGTGAATTCACTTTCACTTGCTAAACTTATATAAATTCATCTTTTGACTAAATACCTTAATGATCACATTTTTGTCGTTGAAATGGAAAGCAAATATTATTTAGTATAGAAGAGAGGTTGAGATGTTCATCTTGTCTTATTTCCATTATCACATTTCTTCCCAGTCCGTAGAGAATCAAAGATACTGGAGTGCTAATAGTAACGGGCACCTGTGTATCATTCTTTACCGGCTCTGAAACTCCTGTCTGGCACAGTATTTTGGTGCTTGTAGGAATTTGGTGGCTTGTATAGAGACTCTTATGCCTGACTGGAATCTGGAGCCTCCAGAGCCACATCCAGGGACATCTCTGTGACCCTGATGCGGCCTGGAAGTAAAATAGGGACTTTTCACAGTTTAGTTCCACTAGGGAGGGAGGAGGGGAAGTGGAGAAATTGCTTCAGAGACGGTCGTGTATCAAGTGCCAGGACCAGCCCACGTATGTGCCTGGGTAAGAGAGGTGTTGCTAACACCCAGGACAGCGGAAGTGTGTTTGCGGATTGTATCTCTGGGCGTAGCTCCTCTCTCTGGATGTGGTCTCACCATAGAAGTTACTCTTTTCTTCATTTTTTAACTTAAATTAGATTTTATGTCTTGTCCTATCTATGGAATTCAGAGCATTTTGTCAAATGACTTTTATTCATTGGTGCTATTTGTACTGCACAAGCCCAAAATGGCAAAGAGTCACATGTCACTCAGGAGAGAGCTGAAGGGATGGGATGGCAGAAATATGTGCTCTTTTCAGTGCAGGGCCGCTCTGCAGGGGTCTCTGTGACGTATCCTGCAGTTCAATGTCAGGGCAGCCCGGAGGGAGGAGCCCAGAGCAGGCCGAGGGAGGGACCCAGAGCAGACCTCGCTCCTACCCAGGAGCACCCTGACTTTTAGAGCTCCATGCCCCTACAACGAAATAGTTCTGGAATTTTTTAAATTTATAACTGGTTGAGGAAACATACATATATATATATATATATATATATATTCCCAAGGCAAAAAATGAATAAGAGGTGGTTTTTTAAGCTTTCAAAATTCAGACTTCCAAATCTACTTCGCTGCTCTGCAGAAATGACCAGATCTGGCATCTCTTGTGGTTCTCAGCTTCTTATCATTCAGGCTCAGCTGTTGAGTCTAAAGAATCGAATGACGGAGGGCACTTTTCTTTAGGAGACTTTTAACTCTTCTCCACACATTTCTCTCAGTGTGCAGACGTGGATGACGACGACTGGGACATCTCGTCCTTGGAGGAAGAGAAAAAACCTGGGAAAGAACAGAAGGAAACTCCACCTGTGAAGAATGAGTCACATCCCACTCAAGTGCCAAATGCCTGGGGAGCGTCTAATCCCAAGGGGTCAAAGGGAGAAGGTTCGCTGCTTTTGAGTCTTGGCAGAAGCTCAGTCCACTTGGTGCTGAGTTGCATTTCATCTTTGTAAATACCTGCTGAAGCTTGCTAATATATCAGCAGACAGAAACTTGCTATGGGCGCAGCCAAGATTGCTATGCTTTCTTTTCTTTTCTTTTTAAAATAATTATTTATTTAATTTTATTTATTCATTCATTTATTTTAATTTGACCAGAGAGAAATACACACAGTGAGAAAGCAAGCCACCAGGTCCAGTACTCGAACTGCAGTCGGCCATGTGGGAGTGTCCAGCACCTTAACCACCACGCCACCTGCTGGTCCCTTACGCTTTCTTTATATTAAGTTCAGTTTAGGGAATATGTACAATTCACTCACTTATGTAGTTACTGATTATTTAATTTTTGGTATAATCTCTAGTCTTTAAAATTTTCAGTATTGTTTTTAGAACTGTCCGTACAAATGCTCTCTTCACACAGGTGCCCCAGAGGAAGGAACATGCCCAGCCATACACCCAAACGAGACCATGCTTTCACTCTTCCTCTCTCCATCCACCTCCCTATTAGATGATTCTTCTATTTTCTCCCAAGGAAAAGTTCCTTAGAGCCATGTGGTTAGTAGGATGAATTACAAATGAAATTGTCTGTTGAAATGGTTCCCATCTACCTAGTCTAGAACTTGGATAAATCCAGTAACTTAATTCTCAATGGATTTCGTTTTTGCAGTTAGACAAATTGTCATTTATATTTTTATCCAGGTAAATCTTGTATGTGGTGACAGCGAAGTTCCCTGCCACCCCCAACCACCTCAATGCCTCTGACAAGCACTTCTCTTGGGAATGGGCTGAGACCCACATCTGTTCCTTGGCTCACCGATAACAGACATTCACTGTTGATGGTCCTGCTAAAAGAGGACACGTTCCTTCCTCTGGGGCACCTGCGTGAAGAGAGTGTTTGTATGGACAGTTCTAAAAACAGTATTGAAAACTTTAAAGACTAGAGATTAGACCTAAACTTAAATAATCAGTAACTATATAAATCAGTGAATTGTACATATTCCTTGAACTGAACCTAATAGAAAGGAAACATCAAGATCCTGGCTGTGCCAAAAGCTATCTGGCTCCTTTCACCATCTACTTCACCTCCCCTCTGCCCCCTCTTCAGTGTATTTGTACCCATTTGCACCCTTACTGTCACACTGTCACAGCACAGCATAGTAGCAGTCATGACATATGACCGTCATGAAATTTGTCTGTGCAGTATCTAAGGACCGACTCTCATTGTTGAAAACCTAAGACCGTGTTTGCGTTAAAGTGACTCTTCAGTGCATGGGGCCAGAGGGGGCCCTAAGGACACTTCCTATGTCTTCCCCTAATTCTATGACCCTGTGTCCCTCCAAAAAACACTTCTAGAGTCAAGCCTGAGTGGAATTCTCTGCACTGTACTAGTTCACTGGTTTAAAATCTTAGCACTTTTTAATCAGCTTCATATTTAAGCTCATCTACCTAGGAACTGTTTCTAACACTCCATCTCCTTTCTTTACAACACCCATTCACCCAAGTGTCTGTAACTACACAAACATACTGAGCACTTTGAGCATCCAGGCCCCATGCTGAATGCTGAAGGAGGAGTAGGAAGCATGGGGAAATTGCTTCAGAGACGGTCGTGTATCAAGTGCCAGGACAAGCCCACGTACCTGTGCCTGCATAAGAGAGGTGTTGCTAATACCCAGGACAGCGGAAGTGTGTTTGCGGATTGTATCTCTGGGCGTACTCAATGCCTCTGACAAGCACTTCTCTTGGGAATGGGCTGAGACCCACATCTGTTCCTTGGCTCACCGATAACAGACATTCACTGTTGATGGTCCTGCTAAAAGAGGACACGTTCCTTCCTCTGGGGCACCTGCGTGAAGAGAGTGTTTGTATGGACAGTTCTAAAAACAGTATTGAAAACTTTAAAGACTAGAGATTAGACCTAAACTTAAATAATCAGTAACTATATAAATCAGTGAATTGTACATATTCCTTGAACTGAACCTAATAGAAAGGAAACATCAAGATCCTGGCTGTGCCAAAAGCTATCTGGCTCCTTTCACCATCTACTTCACCTCCCCTCTGCCCCCTCTTCAGTGTATTTGTACCCATTTGCACCCTTACTGTCACACTGTCACAGCACAGCATAGTAGCAGTCATGACATATGACCGTCATGAAATTTGTCTGTGCAGTATCTAAGGACCGACTCTCATTGTTGAAAACCTAAGACCGTGTTTGCGTTAAAGTGACTCTTCAGTGCATGGGGCCAGAGGGGGCCCTAAGGACACTTCCTATGTCTTCCCCTAATTCTATGACCCTGTGTCCCTCCAAAAAACACTTCTAGAGTCAAGCCTGAGTGGAATTCTCTGCACTGTACTAGTTCACTGGTTTAAAATCTTAGCACTTTTTAATCAGCTTCATATTTAAGCTCATCTACCTAGGAACTGTTTCTAACACTCCATCTCCTTTCTTTACAACACCCATTCACCCAAGTGTCTGTAACTACACAAACATACTGAGTACTTTGAGCATCCAGGCCCCATGCTGAATGCTGAAGGAGGAGTAGGAAGCATGGGGAAATTGCTTCAGAGACGGTCGTGTATCAAGTGCCAGGACAAGCCCACGTACCTGTGCCTGCATAAGAGAGGTGTTGCTAATACCCAGGACAGCGGAAGTGTGTTTGCGGATTGTATCTCTGGGCGTAGCTCCTCTCTCTGGATGTGGTCTCACCATAGTAGTTATTCTAGTCCTAAACTTATAGGCTGAGGACTGGAGGTTCCATATATGGGTCTGTGAGAGGGTCCTAAAGATGTGGTCAGTCCATGGTTGGACTTTATACTAGCCTCCTCCATAGCTCGTGGGGATTCACAGACTCAGATGGAAGGACTGAAATGAGGATTTTTACAGGCTTGACAATGTGCTTTAACCATTGATGCCTTCTCTTCTCCTCCTCCTCCCTCTCCCTCCACAGGACTTCAAGACATTGAGTCGAGCACATTAAAAAGCAGCTTAATAACTGTGACAGACTGGAGCGACTCCTCAGACGTATAGTTCCAAGTTCACATGGTGGAAGATTCTTCCAGAAGCCAACAGCATCTCCGTATCACAGTGTTTCAGTAACCTGCCCCAATGGTTCTGGGGCTCCTGCCTTAGAGCACTTTCCAGGCAGTAAGGAGCCCATTTAAAGAACAAGGGTCTCAAACGGTGCTTGACCCAGTCTTGAAAAACAATGTGTCAACAGTATTTTGAAGCATTTAAATAGGTGTTTAAGACTTCTGCTGCTTAAAAATAACATGTTATCAAAGTCATAAAAAGTTATTCTTCAGAATGGTACTCTAGTGTTAAGTGTATTTTTTTTTAACTTACAGGTTTTGGTTTGAATTATTAAAACTTTTTTTTAGATATCGTTATGGTCACATTGGAAGTGTTTATATTATAGGATTCTGTTTGTATCCTTAAAATTTAATTGGTTAAATCAGTGAAATCTCTGCAGTTAGACTGGTTATTTTTCATATAGAAGTAAGTTGAGAAATTACAATGGAGCTAGGTCCATGTTAAATACATTGTCCTGAGGTACCTTCCTCATGTTCAGCTTTGAGCCACCGTAAGCATGATGCTATTAAACAGTTATTTTCTGCAACATAATCCTTTATTTTTGACATTTTATGAGTAAAATATAGCTGTTTTAAATGCCAGTTTATCAGAATATTAATAGAAAAGACTGAGTCATTACTCAATTCATATGTGTATGGAGTTTAGCTTTGTTTTTTTTTTACTTTTTTAATACCTAATCTGTATTACAAAATACCTCAAAACTAATTTAGTTTTATTTTTGAACAGTTACATTGTCAGTGGTCAGAAAGTTCCTATAAACATTTTTGCATTTTTTTTATACTTTGTAGTACTGTCTGTACTCTCTTTCCAAACATGGTAACCTTATAACTGTTTTGTTGGGTTTTAGATCTCTTCATTTTGTCAATTTTTCCAGTAAAGCCCTCCATGAGATCATTGTGACTGTGGCTGAGTTATTAGAGATGATTTCAGAGTTAACTTTTCTTTTTTTACTTTACCAGAGGTCATGTGCGCACTCCAGAGAAAGAAAGAGAAACTGAGAAGCAACCCCCAGGGGAGACAGCCATGCCGCTGTTCCTTCTCCATTTCTCCATCGGGATTCTGGGTGCACATGCACACACACCTGGCACCTCCCTCAAACTGATGGGTCTGCCCCCGAAACATGTGGGACCCAACTGCCCCAACCACCATACTACCAACTAGCCTCAAAGTTAAATTTATACTTTACTAGGTGATGACTAAAAGGGAGCTTGACTTGGTGGGTAATACTGGATAACATCCTGACCTCACATTAGATGGAATCTTATCTGTTTCTGTCTTTTCCGGGATCCCCTTCAATCTTTCATTCCAACCTTTAAAGAACTGCGTTCGTTAAGAAATCACTGGAGCAACTTTCACATGTTGAAAAACAGCAAGTTTCTCAGTTACCCAGTTAGTTCCACAGATGGGACCCGCAAGACACGCCAGAACTCAGCCCCTCAGTTCTGAGTGAGGCAGGTATCATTCAGCCCTGGGCTTGCTTTATTGCTCCAGTATCAACGACTAGTGTTTCTAGCTCAGCTCTTGCTCTTGCCACAACTCAAGACACTGTTTTCTGTGACCGAGAAACCTAAGCAGTTACACTTAAATGAATGTGCTACATATTGCGTTGTATGAGGTATTTTTGCATAGAAAAATATTTCATGACTTTCCCCACGACCTAATAGAAGGCAGTTACCACTTGGCCCCCGTAACGGTCCCTTGAGCAGTCACAATGAATGACAGACTGGTAGAAGAGAGTAGAAGCCAACTACACAGTCACGTGTCTATTCAGTTTGGATGCCTTCTGAGGGACAGTCTCAAGATTGTCCCTACACTGTTTACAAGACACCATTCCTTCTATACATGCTGTCTTGTATATGAATGAAGAAAAACACAAGGAATGGGGAAAGAGACTTCAATGTATGCATGATTAAAAGGCTGTACTACTGGGCCAGCAGGTGGCGTGGTGACTGAGGTGCTAGACTTTCACATGGCCTACCACAGTTTGAATGAGACCTAGTGGTTTGCTTTTTCACTTCCTTCTTTTTCTCTCTTTGTCTGTCTCTGATGAGTGCACATGCCCTATAAGAAGTTAAAAAGTAATAATAATGATAACTAAAATTAAATAATCATTTTAAAAATAAATCATTTAAAAATAATAATTTAAAAAAAGGCTACATTACTAATATTTCCCAAAGCTTTGATCCTACTTTGGCCCTAAATGTTTTCTGTGTTCTATAAATGTATAAAATAAATTACAAGTCCTGTAAATAACCTGTTTATTTTTTTTATAGAAAGTCACAACAGAACATGATTAGTATATAACTATGTAAGAACATTTACATCCATCAACAATCTACACATAAAATTCATATTTTAAAAACAGTTTGAGTGTCAATTATATGAGAGTCTTGATGGGATAACTGTGGGAACAGTTCATTTTTATAACAAACCCAAAATACAGCTTGCCAGCAGAGCTCTTCTACACGTACGCATTTTTATCGAACTGTTTTGAAGGGTTTGTGGTCCTAAAATCTTCTGCACCTGGATACTTGCTCCGGGAAGACATGACAGACGTGGGGCCATTGTATGCATAGCCCATTCTGGAAGGCAAAGCACAGGTTGGTGGATTCTGTCCTACACTGAGGGCGAAGATGGGAGGAAACTCCCCTCCACATGTTTCTTTCAACAACTAAACTTAACATCTTTCCCTTTCTTGGTTCAACTTCACCCTTCCTGTCACCCCAGAAAATATTTCAGTATCGTTTCTGAATAGCTGGTATGACCAAGAGATTCTCTGCAGAAGGAACTCCTGACTTGTTCATGTGTTCAGTTATTTCCTTTCAAGACCAATTTTAAAAATCCTCTTCCTGAAACCTAAGAGACTTAGTAATGACCTTCGTAACAATTCCTGGCCATATGAAAATTAGGATGACGTCAAGGTGAAGAATATATCCTCATATTTGGACTCATATTTCTAGCAGAAATAGCTCTAGAATATAACAATAAGCTCTTCTTTGTTTTCACTTAAATTTTCTGTAGGGCACATGTGCTCACTAGAGAGAGAGAGGGGAAGGGAATAAGAAATCACCCCTGGGGGGGATGACCACACCATGATTCCTTCTCTGTTCTCCTGTCAGGATCTGGGCCATTCATATATAGGCACCTGGCACACTTTTCAAGCCACCAGGTCTGGGGCTCGAACTGTGCAGTCAGACACATGGGATCCAGCTGCATTAATCACCATCCCACAGACTGACCCAATAAGCTCTTTAAAAAAGAAAGAACTATATCCCTAACCTTTCCCAATTCTGGGTTTTTGAAGTTTCTAAGAATCATGAACTATCTATAATTTGTCCTTTATGTCAATACATTAGAATAGTATTGTACCTTTTCACCGGTAATTTTTGTCTTTTTTTCATACCTGGGTGCTTTGTTGTTGTCAGATATTGAAAAGCAAAATATGACACCGCCAATTATGCAGAGTGAGGCTCCTGCCCATCCAATAAACAGAGCAGCTCCTAATTCATACCTGCGAGAAAGAATTGCACAAGTGTTACAACTCATTTATTTAGGGAGTAAACAATATTTAACACTGCTAGCCAACATTTACTAAATGCTCATCATAAATTTTTTGCCAGTTGAACTTGTAAGAGAAGTAATAACACCTTATGTCTGTACAATATTTTAAACGTCCCAGAGTGATTTTATAGCCATGACTTTTTTTTTATGTAGAGGTTTTTGCCATAGGACACGTGTGCTCGCCAGACAGAGAGAGACGCAGAGACAGAAAGTGAGAAATCACTCCCCAGGGAGGATAGCCACGCTGCAATCCCGTCTCCTCCATTCTCCTCTCGGGTTCTTGGGCACACACGCACACGCGCCTGGCATGAGTCTTAAGCCATCGGGTCCAGGACGCGAACTGCCGTCGACTAAGTGGGAGTCCAGCGACATAGCCATTATGCTAACTGCTGGTCTCAAGCCATGACTTTATTTTACCTCCCCAAGGTCCTGAAAGCAAATAAGAACGGCCAGGCAGGCGAGATCCAAGCAAAGCCAGCTGCAGCCAGGGGTTCCTCATTACCAGCACCTTTCCTCTGGGCTCTGCCTTTTCCTCATCAGGTTTTCCATCTGTTCATTCCATTCCATGGGGTACATGATTTGGGTATATTGCAGTAAGCAAAGGGGAGGGTGCCTCTATTTCATTTTAGGGGGGCCCCACAACTTCAATGAACATCTGCTCTGCAAATCGTGCAACACAAGGTGTCCATGAAGAGTCAGTGATGGAAACATCATCACCTTATCACTGCAGTCTGGTGAGAAGATGAATAAACTAGCTATTATTTAGTGATAAATTGCTACTCAGCCTCTCCTAGAGGGCAGGCCACTATACTCTACAGATAAGCAGAGCAGATGCAAAGATAAATGAGACAGTCCTCCCCTTCCCAAGGTCACCATACAAAGGTAAAATGATGCTACTGAAAACAACAAAGTCACTTGCAGTAGAGAACTACAGGAAATCCTGGGAAAGGAGGAAGACTCGCTCACAGAAGTCAGGAATGAGAACACCTCAGGGGCAGTGTGCATACTCAGGTTTGGCTATCCTTGTTCTGGTGAATAGGTTGTTCATTGTTGTTTTAAAGAAGAGTGATTCATTTTTGCCCATCAACCTCCATAGCAAGACAAATAAATGTCTAACAGTGCTTTCCGGTGTTAAAAAAGGACAAGTGGGAGGGTCTGTTTTGACCACACAAAATCCACACACAAAATCAGGTATTAGGGCAGGAAACGGCTGCAACAGGACTAGGGGAAAGGCCCTCATCCAGCGCTGGAGCAGTGCTGACACTCCAGGAGCCAAGTGCCCAGCAGGGCCAAGGGCACCATCGGGGGATTCATGTATATGGGGAAAAACACCCTCGGTCTGCATTTTAAAAATGCCCAAGGGGCCAGCAGGTGGTGTGGTGGTCAAGGTGGTGGACTCCCACATGGCCAACCATGTTTCAAGTCCTGGACCTGATATGCTTTCACACTCTCTGTCTCTTTCTGATGAGCACACATGCCCTATAACAAACTTAATAAATAAAATAAAATAAAATAATTTAATTAAATTAAATTTTTAAAAATTAAGGCAGAAATGTGAAGTTCACAGCTGAAGGGATCAGCTAAATGGATCAGGGACATCAAACTGGGAGTTTTACCAAAGATGCTTTCATTAATGACCATGCGGTCATACACCTATGCTCTGGATTGCTATAATACAATTGGCCCTGCTTTTATGGGGTTTTAATGAGATTATACACAATCAACAAGCAGAGTGCCTGCTTAGCTGTGAGTGCAAGTCCTTTGATCTCTTTCAAACACCTGGACGTTCTTTCAATTGTAAGCTGGCATCAGACCCATCCGTTGCCGCCCTTTCACAATTAAAGCAATGAGCACGACTGAAAATTTCTCAGTGGAGGATGTTACTGTCGGATGACCCCTTCACAATTTTATAATACTTTATACATCTCTCCATTTCCTTCTCTGAGAGCAGCTGTTCCCAACATTGTGCACACCAGCGACCAGTTCTGTAAAAGACGATTTTTCCATGGATGGAGGGTGAGGTGGGATAGGAGTAGGAATAGCTTCTGAGAGTGCACAACCTATATGCCACACATGCACAGTGCACATAGGGTCTGTGATCCTATCAGAATCTTGTGATGCTGCTGATCTGACAGGAGGCGGAGCTTAGGTAATGTCAGCAATGGGGAGTGGCTGTAAATACAAATGGAGCCGTGCTTGTCCACTACCACTCACCTCCTGCTCTGCAGCCTGTTTCCTAACAGGCCACTGATCAACCTTGCTGTGGTCTGGGAGTTGGAGACCCCTGCCCTAGAAGTTAGGCTGTCTTTCCTGCAGCTATGCCTTAATAAACTCTAAACTCTCATTGTAAATGTGCCTTGAAGAAGTAGTCTGATATTTTTCTTAAAATATTGAGCTTTTCTAAAATAGAATGCCAGTACCAGGTACTATGAATAGTTAAAAATAAGTCTCTGAGGCCAGCAGGTAGGTAATGGTTAAGGCATTGGACTCTCATATGGCTGGTCACAGTCTGAGTCCCTAATTAGAACCTCAAAAACCACACCAAAGATGTGTGTGTGTGTGTGTGTGTGTGTGTGTGTGTGCCCAAAATCCCAAGAGGAAACTGGAAGTGAAGGGAATGTGGCATGGCCATCCCCATTGGGGGTGATTTCTCACTCTCCCTCTTACTGTCTTTGTCTCTCTGGCAAGTGCACATGCCCTACGGGTCATGGGGGAGTCTCTAATTATTAATGCTGGTCAGTTGAGGAGGTGATAGAAATCCTAAGCACAGCTTGGCACTGTGGACCCATTAAAAGGAACATTACAAACATGTACACTGTGTTATCACAAATCCCAGGATATGTTACCCAGGCAGGCCAGGGCTAGGGTCTACATTCACTTAAGTCATCTTGAAACTTTTAAAGCATCATGAGTTCGGTTTCTATTAATAACTGGTTAACATTCCTTTTTAAATATTGGGTCATAGGGAAAGTCATGACACAAAATACTTCATGACTTTTTCCAATGACCTAATACATACTAAATTTTCTTTAAATCACTACATATAGACTCTAATCCAAACAAAATATAATTTTTCCTTTGAAATCTGTTGGAGACAACTAATAAACAGTAACAGTTTAAAGCTGATTTGCCTGAAGTTTAAAATTAAAAAAAAACAACAACTTTAATTTATTTCATCTGCAAGTGAGCCAGAGAGAGAGACAGAACCTTCAACAGGGATCTGATGCCACACACAATACACCACCAGTCTTCGACCCTGGATCATGGGCAAGTGTGTGCTCAGTGTACTCAGGGAGGCCTCTGGACTTGAACTAGGAACCTTCCCACATGGGAATGACTTACAGAGTTACATTTTACTGCTGTTCCACTATGCAGCCCTTGCTTTACGCCTACCCCAATATTTTTTTAAAGTTAGAACATGAGGGCTTTTGTAACCTCATTCTTCCTCTTTCAGAGACTTTTTCTTCATTCTGTTGAAAGACATGTATCTCAAACATACTGTGTCTTCAGCTCACACCTGTCAGTGTGTGTCATCTGGCAAAAACTGACTTGTGTTACTCGAAGAAAGTATTGAGGGAGAGAAATAGGACATCTGCTCTAATTGTTCCCAAGGCACATCTCACTGGCAATGACTGGGAGCCTTAGTCTTTGCCTGGGTTTTTGTTTTGTTTTAATGATAGTGTATGCACACACATGAGAGAAAGAGAGACACTCTTGTCATGGCACCATTCCTTATCCCCAGCCCTCCAATTCCATGGAATCCTGGGCACCTGTTAGCACACCAGTAGTGTTTTTAAGCTGATCTAGGGATCCAAACCCACAGTTGGCCATATGGCTTCCAGCACAGCAGGGCATTGTGTTAATGCTCCATCACAGCAACTATGCCTCTGCCTGGAAATCTTTCTTCATTTCTGGTAATGCTAAGAAGCTAACTTCAACACCTGGAAAGATTATCCAAATCTCAGATGATCTTTTGCAGGCCTTTCTTTTGGTAACTATCCCCCTGGTCCTAGCCCAGTTTCCTCACTCGGAGTGTGGACTCTTCATTACAATCACCAAAGTTTCTTCATTATTCTGAAAGGTTGTATGTGTATATATATTACATATATATGTATGTATAATATATATATTATTATAATACATAATATATATAAAAACACTTCTCCAGGCAGCTCCATGATCTTCATGTCAAGGACAGAACTTCATTTATAAATCAAATCATTGTTATTGAAGAACTTTGGCTGACAGAACCAATCAAAAGCTGCCTCTATAACTTCAATACATTTATGTCATTGAATAGGACTTAAGTAAATGAATAATGGGGAACAAATTTACTTCAGATAAAGTAAATCACAGATTAACCACTTAAAACTTCCCCCAAAAAAGAAACCATAAATGGATAAGGTGTTATTAATAGTCCAAATGTATTTTTTTTGAGAGGTTTTTGCTGCAGGGCACGTGCACTCGCCAGAAAGACAGAGAGAGACAAAGAGACAAAAAGCAAGAAATCACCCCCCAGGGGGTATGGCCAGGCTGTAATCCCTTCTCCTCCATTCTCCTCTCAGAATCTTGGACACACACACACACTCGCCCAGCATGAGTTTAAGCCACCGGGTCCAGGACTCGAATCACTGTCAACTACATGGGAGTCCAACGACATAGCCATTACATCAACCGCTGGTCCCTAAAATGTATTCCTAATTACTGGGTGAAATTACTCTCATCCACCGACGTGCGCCTAGGATCCTAGGCTGTGCTCAGTTCTCTCATTTCCCGTTAACAGAGCCGGGGCTAGGCCAGGAGGTTACATGGAGGTTAAGAAGGCTGGATCCCAAAGGGACCAGCAGATGGTGTAACGGTTATGTCACTGGAATCCCACTCAGTCAACTGTGGTTCAAGTCCCAAACCTGGAGGCTTGAAACATGCCAGGTACATGTGTATGCATGCACA